GGACGGTTGGGCGTGTCAGGCGGGATGAGTTTGACGCGGTGCCAGACCTGTTCTGCACCAGCTGCTAAAGCGAGCTAGTTCTAAGACTGTACTACACGTTCGTATTTTCTTATTATTCGTTTTCTACCACTTTTTGTCGCATGCGCGCTTCAACAAGAAGGCAGAGAACGGCTTCGACACACTCATACTGACACGCCCAACCGTCCGCAGCGAACTAGAGTATACCTAAAGCCGGTAACTGATTCAAGGTGAGTGTGCCGCTGTACGTCGACCCAACTAAATAGGAAATGATGTGCCACTTTGTTCGCACGCTTCATCACGGATGTAACGTCTTACACGCGGTGAGGACAGACGATAGCTGGAATCCCTTTTCCTTCTGTGAATCGTCCTTCTTGATCAGGCCATAGTGCTTTCCCAAGATACTACCCGTGTGCCTTTAGTAAACTCCGTCGAGAGTGTCTGTGAGACTTCCCGCATTCATTTCATCGGGAACCCATTCGAGTGATTGCGTAACGAATGCCCGCCCCTTCAATTGGTGATACAAACGAAATAATAGCAGACTCACCACAACCACGACTATGTTTTCCCTGATAGCTCGACAAACGCCAGGATCTTGATGCTCGAATTCTAAACCGTTTCATTCATTGTTGGTCTCTGCTCTTCATGCAGAACTTACGACTGAATAGAACACTTACGACTGAATATAAGAGGATCGAGAGCCATTTGCATAACACAAGCGAAAACCACGGCAAGTGAATGCACATCGAGAGCGCGTATCATCTGCTTGGCAAAATCCAAATACGGAATATTGGACAACACGAGACGATGGTCAACTGACATCAGTTGGCGAATCCCACGGAAAAAGTTCGCTGGCGTAGCTGGAATGTATTATTTCCTTCACACTTTTCTACATGTGTCAAGACAATCGTAATATGTCGCGTTGGTAAACGTGGCGAGCGACGCCCACCTAACGGGCGAGTTTTCCTGCCCAGCTGTTCTAACAGACTTAAGAATACGGGAAAACTCCGATATCGCCCCGCAGGAAGTCTCGTCAAGGTTTTCATTAGATTTTTGCTGCTCTTATTTGACATATAGGTACCCATCGAGGCCTTGCCCGCACGGTAACCCGCACGGTAGGCCGCGCGCGACCACACGACAAATTACGATTGTCTTGTCTCCTGTCTCCCTTTTCTAGCTCTCAAGAACACCAAGACTGACCTGCATCTGCGTTTTGTATGATTAGAAATCTAAGAGTGTCGACGGAACAAGTAACCAATTTGAAGAAAAATACGAAATTCAAGTTGTCAAATACCCCATCCTTGGGATTGCTGTCAAGGCTGTCCTAAAGTGACACAGCCACTTGAACATGAGGAGCGAAAATTAGAAGGAATGTGGGAATAATACCTTTATCATGCGTGATACAATCTTTCCCAATTCAGTATTACTCCGCCTAGTGAGAAAATTGAACACATCAGACAAAGAATTGAATTTGACATTGTAGTCTTCATGTATACCAGAAAGAATAGCCGTCCGAAACCTGAAAAACGGGATGGAAAAACATTGGAAAATGATTATTAAAGGCACGCCCTGGCTCCAAAATGGAGAGCTGTGCGGCTCCAATACTAATGGCAGGGCAGTACGGGGGGAGACGGGCAGAGTGTGATTCGCCGCTCTGACCGCGCGCGGCGATGAGGGCGGCGTTTTCTTGACTTGTGCTAGCGTGTCGATTGGAGCATCGGATTTCACGTGGGTTTCGAAACTGTAGGCATTCATGACTATTTTCGTTTCTACACTGCTTGTTGTCGCCACTTACGACCTGAAACCATTGTCGCTTGCGGGCGCGACATCGCACGCGGCGACTGTCAGAGTGACGAATCACGATTCTCTTGTCACTTACCCGGATAGTAGGTGATTCAGTGCTGTGGTGGTTAGGGGAGCCGTGGTTCGTTTCCGCTGGCGTATTTTCGAGCTGCGCATTTAGCACAAAACTCACCTTTGCAGGCAGGACTACCATGTCAAAAGAAGGCCCAACAAACAAAACATCAGATGAGCGCAGGGCGTACTTTTAGGCGTGTCATGACAAACCTGATTCCTTTCCTTTAACTTGATATCCTCTACATAAGCCTTGAACTGATCAGCTCCAACGGTGAACAAATGATCTACAATTGAGCCCGGGAAAGTGATCCTTAAAGACATTATTTTCATCATTCATTTGCTCTATAGTGAAGATCATAGAATATCTTACGCGATGTGGAGCCAAATCCAATTAAAGTGTGTTCCATGTCGAGAAGCGTCGAAGAGTACCGTCATGCATTCATCAGGACACTTCGTAAGCCTAGAAATTATGGCCCTTATTGTTAGTGACAGGTGTGCAAAGCATGTACCGCATGTTATGAAAACTCACAACACGTTTATAGTTGTATCGATAAGTTTTATCAGTTGAGCAATGGAGCCAACCATTTTGAACAGCTCTAGAAGAGATTCGGGGCCTCGAGGGAGATTGAGTACACTCAATCGACCAGCATTGTGCTGACTGAGTTCCGAAGAAATAGTGCAGCACCACTAGAAATGCGGAAAATTAGCACAGCTTTTGTCACTTCTGTACTGCCTTTTCCCATTTGAGGCAGCTTTTCATACCTGACAGACAGGAACTCAAGAGTCGCGAAACTTGAAAGGATACGGAAAATCGCAAAACGTGCAGTCAAAGTGCTATGGGGGATTGTAAAATTGCAAAAAGGCAAAATTGTCGTAAAAAAAACAGAAGCGCGCCGACTGATGCTACTGCCAGATTTTTCAGCTGGGCTGAGTCAATCGGAAAGCACCCCATCGTTGCCTCAAATAGACCTTCCAAACAACACCGAGCCCTGTGCACCCTGTTTCTTTTTCAAAAAACGATGATACGTGCAGAATGCTCAGTTTTCCCTTGTCGAGCAAGTACTGGTGGTGATGCGACTTCCCCTTCTTTTTCTACTGTGCGAAGGATATAAAGACCTTGAATGGCCATGCAGGTTTACAAATTTGAGCGCTTTAACGGGCCGAAACGTAGAGTGCTTTAACGGACCGAAACGTACCGAGAGCACCTCAATGACAGATTTCTTGAGGAATGATGATGTAACCGCATCTCCTACCATCCTCATTAGAGTGACTGCAGCGCTCTCTACAGAACTGTAATCGACCCCTGAAAGGAAACACAGATGTCACTAAAAGTCCCTACCACAGTGAAATTTGAACGAACCATACTGAGGATTCTCTTGCTTTGAGAAACACTGATGAGCATTCTCATGGATGAGCAATCCGATATAGCCCAAAATCGCATTCCTGTAATTGCTGCATTAAGAAAACATTCCTATCAAAAGCTATGGCTTGCTGTTCAATTCACATCAATTTGAAAAGCTCCATTAGGACATATGAAGACAATTCTAAATTCACTTTCTTGGACCCTTTCCTGCCACTTGCGAGTGCGCAGACGGTGCCGCAGCCGCAGTAGCCTGCGTACCTTACTCCTGCTCTACGGACAGGTGCCGCACGGCCAGCCAGATGGCCACCAATAACCGAACGCGCTACTTACCTGCACTCTCGCGCTACCAGTTGTTCTCTCCCTCTGACGGAATGTTCGCTGCGGGATTCTGGTATGTACACAGACACAAGTGCTGCACAATGTGAATAGGGCAGCCGGAGTCGGTAGACGACATTTGGGTACCGCTACTTTCCAGCCCCGTTCGCGTGCACTTTCGAGCGGTGAAAGTGGCACGCTGCTGAGCTGCAGACCCTTTAACCTTGATCGTGGCAAGAAGGTCCTCGGAGGTGAGTGTAGAACATTTACTTCCAGTCTATTTGAAGTGATCAAGCAGCATTAATGCATTTTTCTAGCGGCGTTGCAGTACAATCTGACTAGGGGCACAGAGCCATCACCAAAATGCTCTTCAGCGGCGCTCGTGCATCTCTATTCCCCAAGTCAACTCGTACTGCGATGCCGCGACGGGGACGTAACTCTCGTTATCCAGTCCAATCTGGGCCCTGATGCTGATGACTCTACTTGGAGCCTCTCTTTCACTCTCCTGCCTCGGATGTGCTGAAGTATAGTCAAAGAGCGGACTACCTACCTTGAGGCCGGTATGCCATAGAAAGCATCAGAAGCTGGTGCGATAAGCTCTGCAGCTGACAGATTAACCCATATTGGCCGTCGATACACTGCTGTTACGTCGCCCATTGAAGTCAACTTCATAAAAGCATCATGAATAGTGTTGACCTTACGATACCTCTGAAAAGGAGATCGTTTGGAAATCGACATCGCTAACATGTAAACGGGTCATCTGAAAGAAAGTTTGGCTTCCCAACTTACCTCGCACCATTCCGCACTTGAGTAGGCCTTTCGCTGATAGTCACTTCCACCGGGGAAACGACTGCTGGAACCTTCACTAGCTATCATCTCCTCCTCCGCCACTTCAGCCTAAAACACTTAAGATGAGCAGGACCACTCGTGAAGTCACAGAAAGGCACTATTTCGTTCCACAGCCTCGTCAGGGTGTTTCCTAGTTAGTTGACCAGGCGGTCGCAGGCACTGAGATAGCAAGTCGACTTGAAGGACACAGACGCAGTGAGTTAACAGTGCAGTGGGTCCTACGTCACCCCACTTACTCGCCGCGACTAGTACGTAATGCTTCACATCCGCGAAACAAACCCCTGGCGCTTGCATTCAAATGTGAAGCGGGCCCATGCACATAGATCAATAATCGTACACGTTGTCACAGCCACTGTTTCAGGTTGGGGCATGGCGCCGAGAAATTCTTCTTTCAAAATCAGCACGACACCCAACCCTACGTACCTCTTACCTCTACCAATACTACGACCCCAACATTCGTTGATGATGGGGAAGCGAGCACATAGCTTCGAAAAAAAAACTAGAAAAACAGAAACTGTCGCATGATTACTATGGAGATAGTAAGGCGCCCAGGAAACGGGAACAATCATCGAGAAAATCACCACGCCAAATTCGACCTCCCACATCCCAGCCATCGAACAGAACCCCTCCTACTATATT